ATACTTTGCTGCAGGAATAACATTATTATATATTAGGTCAATGCAAGGGAATTCCTCCTTTCTTCCCCACTCCATTCTTTAGTTCAGATACTGAATTTAGCAATCAATTATTCAGGCAGATATGCAGATGGTAATTGTTTTAACATAATCTCTGCACAGGCAATCAAGAGACCTAGATTTTATTTCCAGCTCTGTCTTGACATGACCTTGGACATTTCACCATTCTCCAAGTTCTAGTTTTTAGGAGGACAGGTCACACTTCACAGCAAATTTGCTGCATTTTGGTAATATTAAAATAGTGTGGAGGTCTTTTTAATTCCACTGTTAGCAATGAAACATTTAGCTATCACTAATGCATGCATTCCTGATTTTCCCAGAGTGAGTTAGTTGCACTGCCTCATGAAACTCCCTGTAGTTTACTTAATAGAGTAAAAGGAATTCCAGCTGCTGAAATACAGCATTCCCTTAAAACAAAACCTGTTTTAATAAGCCCAACTAAATCAAAGAATAAAAATACGAGTGGGAAAGGGTTTTTTTCCTTCATTTTCTTAAATATTTCACCTTGTAATCAGCACTCCAGATCCATATACTGCCTGTGATTTCTCTCATGCACAAGGTCTGTATTTGTTGTTGCAGTTTCTAAATGTCTGGAATGCCTCAAACCATGCTGAAGCCTATTGCATTGTGCTTTAGAAACTCTCTTACCTGAGAGCTCATGCCAGGAAATCTGCAACTTCCTTTTATGATGTGGGCTTGACTGCTCTTCAAGAGATCTTTCTCCCCTCTGCTTTCTCTGCGCTGGCAGAGGGGAAATCAGTTTCAAATACAGGGGGATTTTGTTGAATCTGATAATCCTGAGGCTGAATCAGCGTCTGTTGGTGGCACAAAGGGTCACTATTGCCACTTCTTGCCATTTTGGTGATTTAGAATGACTGAGGGATTTGGGAGCAGTGCATGTCTTTCGGGGAGCATGGCAGACAGGTGGGAATCTGTAAGGATCAGAGGCATTTGAATCGTGGGATAATCAAGTTGAAGGAATTTCGGGAGGTCTGCAGTTCTATTTCATGTTCAAAGAGAGTTCAACTCTGGGATCACACCACGATCCTCAGAGCTTCATTCAGTTGGGTCTTCAAAACCTCCAAGAATGGAGACTGCAAAACTTTATTGGGCAGCTTTTCCTGTGCTTGACTGTCTTCATGGGGAAAAGATTTCCACTGATATCCAGTACCCCCATGCAGAAGCACACAAGTTTTGAGCCTTTTTTCCTGGCTGATGACCTTCCAGATCTGCAGGGCATGGCAGAGGGTGCAGCCGCAGGCTTTGACAGCAGATGGGGTCTCTGCCTTCAGCCTCATTTGCCTTCATGTTCCAGTTTTCTTGCCAACAAACCAGTCTGCTGGGCCGGTGATGTTGGTCTGTGTAGATTAATGTCCTTCTGGTCTGCTGTGAGAAGACGGCCGGGGCTTTTTAGCCATAGCCCAATGTTTCAACTGTGTGGTGTGTTCAGGATTCAGGGGATTTGTATTCAGAGTTTCCCAACTGTCCCAACAGGACATTGGGTGCCTGGCAAAGGTCTCCAGAAGGCTGAAGAGCCCTTAAGCTGTGCAAAGTCCCATGGAGAGAGGAGGAAAACAGCATCCTGCCAGGTCCCGGGAGACCAAAGGGGTTTTGGGATGGTGGGCAGTAACAGAGCTGGCCTCTGTTCCTCGTCTGCTAGAGCCTGAGGCACAGCATTTAGCTGTTCTCTCCCTGACCTCTCTACAGCTGGTATTTCTCTGTCTCACACCCTCTGCTTAATTAGTTTGTCAGGCACAGTCATCATAGCAGGACTCTGCAAGAACACCCAGCAGAGCTCGGCTCTCAGTGCAGCTCCTCATTGTAGCTGGGCTCCACTGTAACACGAGTGATAGCTTAATAAACCACAGCATTGCAGACTAAAGATCTTGGCACTGCTTCCAGCTTCTTATTATAATGAGAAAGGGGGAGGGGGAATCCAAGAAATTGGAGAGAGTGAAGGTTAAAATAATTAATGGACTCACTTTTTATAGTAGACTGGGGTAAAAATGTCTAACCCCAAGATAAACATTAGATTGAAGGTTGATATATTGATTATATACATCTATCTGTTAATAACTTGAACTTGGCTTTTCCTTCTGGTTCCAGACTCAAGTGTGAAAATGTAGAATTATTTCTGGTTGGCCTCAGTGCCAGTGAGTGATTTGTGGGACAATTAAAACCATGCAAAGACAGAAGAAACCTGAATCTAACCAATTAAAATTAACTCTGCATCTTGGAGCAGACTGAAAAGCTTCTAATTTCAAGAGCTCTGATGAATTTCATTTTCCTGTCACCGTCACTTTGAAACCTCACTGTGGTCATAGGTAATGAGAGCTTTTTTCTGCTCTGAATGTTAACCTCCTGCAGAGGAGGCACCCTCCAGTTTCCTCAGGTGATCCCTCAGAGGTTACCTGCTCTGGCACTGCAATCCAGGGAATCTGGGCTGCAGGGAACCTTGAAAAATCTTAATTTTAGGACATGCCTGTGAGTCACAGGCATGTGAGCCTGGCCCAGGCCGTGTCCATGAAAGGCCCTAGTGAAAGTGTAGTGGCTGGATCCTTGTCCAAGGGGTCCCTGCAGGCAGGACAAAGGCTCTGAGCTGTGCAAAAGCACAGCTGCCTTTTGCTCCTAAGCATCATTCATGACCCTGTGCCACTCTCTGTCACACCTCCATCTCAACACAGGGGATTCCATTTCAGGAGTAATACTAATATAATTATTTCTTTATCTTTTTTCCCCCTCTTAATATATTATACTGAGAAGGCCTGAGTCTCAACAGCCTTTTCCCATTAAGCAATACTCTTGCAGGGCCAAGAACATTGGGTCAGGCTCTGGTAAGGCAGGCAGCCAGCTAAAGATTAAAATGCACCTGGGGTTAAACCATTTTCCTTGATTGCATGCTGCCATTCACATCTCCTTGCTGACCTTCCCTGAGGCATGCTGCCTGCACTGCTATGTGGGACTCCAGAGAGGATGTCCTGAGCAATGGACTATCCCTATTATTGGTGGAGCTCTGTGAGGGAAGGATGCTCCATGTCTTGTCCTTGCCTCATTTTGGATGTTTTTTCCCCAAGGGGAAAGTGTCACTCAGATTCTGCAATAAAGACTGGTTTAAATACACAGAAGGTAAGGAACTGCCATATAGATGTTTAGATCCATGGTAAGACTGAGCAACAATGCAGCTCCAAGGCATGCAATAAAACTGCCCTAAAATGGCATTTTCCTGAGTGCTACTTAAGCCAGACTTTGCTGAAATTATGTGGCCACAGGAAGGTGCAAGGCCAGACCCAAGTTTCCTATTGATGCTGTGATGAAGTGTTGACCTCTTCATAAATTTTTCTAGGAGGGCCTTTGTTTGATTTGTGAGTCTTCCTTCAAATTCTGTTTTCTGAATATCCTACATCTGTGGCATGTTCCTCCTAACCATTTCACTTTGCTTGACAGGTGGCAGAGATAAGAATGTTTTCAAGAGAGTTTGCAATTTTTGGATGAGGTCTCTCCGTCTTCTGCAGGATTGATGGTTGATGTTACACATTGGGGGGCCTCTTATATTTTCCAAACCAGCCCAGGAGAAACTGAGCAAAGTCTGAGAATTTACTCTTTAGCTGATAGTGTTTCTCATATTCTGCCTGTGGGGATGTACTTTCATATAGTTTCTTTGGGGGAGAAGTAGAAGGTTTGTGGTCAAGCATCTGGAGGCCCAGCAGGATGCTCTTGCTGCCTGGATTGAACATGTAACTTCCATGGGATCCCACCATGGTGGATTTTCTCTTCTGTAGCTTTCCTGCTGGTTCACTTAAGAGCAGCACTGAATTACTTGACAGCACAATAAAATGGTGCTTCTGCATGTTAAACCAAGTGCTGTGAATGTAAACATGTCAGCACTCTGGGTCATGCTCTCTTGTATGTTATACAAATCGGTAGTGTTAGAACACCACAACACTCTTAGCAGTGGTCTAAATTATTCTTGCATCCAAAAGAGAGACTAAAGATATTTGAAGTCTGGAGTTAAGAGGAAATAATACTGGGCTTTTGCGAGACATTGCTCTGTTAGAGGTTGTCTGACATAAAAGAGAAATAGAGAGAAAACATTGAGTAAAAAAATTACATATGTTTATGTGCTTGTGTATTTCATTCTTGGTTTCCTCCAGACAGAACAATGGAGACAGGTAATCCTATATTAATAACTTGGTCTTAGAAGATCTAATATGAAGAACTTTGAAGCCAATAGCATGTCTGTAATTTTTATGCTCATGCCCAGAAACGAACCCCTGAATTTACTGTAGCTGTGGCCAATACATCAGTATTTTGAAAGGCATTTTCCTTTGCCAACACCTGAGAAAAACAAGAAGCCTGGTGAGAAAGTGTCTGGGCTGGAAAAAATGGATTCAAAGGGTAGTAAAACACTTGCCAAGGGCAAAGGGTGGCTGCAGACACTGACAGATGAACACAGCACCTGCCCATCTTTTGCAGTTGCAAATTTCTGAGAACTGAAAATAATTAGTTTAGGAGATTTGTTTTGTTTTGGTCTTTTTTGGTTTTTTCCCCATCTCTTACCAAAGTGTTTAGAGGAAAGGGATGTTGACCCTAGGATGACAGCTGTATACCCGTGGGAGGCTGGAGCAGGCACCAAAGCCATTCTTTGATGGGGTCTATCACTACCAAGACATTTCACCTCTTCTGCTTCTCTACATCCCATAGATGTGGGGCAGGTGCTCTTTGCCTCTCTGAGTGGGGGTATATTTGGAGAACGAAGTCAGGATGTGCACATATGTGGGGCTCTGTTTTCTCTTGAAATGATATAGAAGACAGGCTCACTTGAGTCCCTCAATTCATTGCCTTTGTCCTTACCTTGGTTTCTGTTTCCTCTCTTCATCAGGAAAATGGGAGCCACTCACCCAGTGTGAGCTCTAAGGCACAGCAAAATAAAGGCAACTGGTTCCACTGCCTCGGACATATCCCAGTATGGATGGCTTGGTTGAGCAGAACAGCGTGCTGATGTGCAGTAAGATCACTGAGGCTGGGAAAAGGAATGGTTTAATTAACACAAGGAACTTAGTGGCAGAGAGCCGGGATGGTCTGGTCTCTGTGTACCCCACCCCTCAGTACCAGAGCCACAAAGTGGGCAGCCTGTCCTCTCCCAGATGCCTGGAGAACAGCAGGAGTGACCCTGTGCAGCAGCTCCTGGACCCCAGCATGCTGCAGCAGACAGTGGAGTCTCACTACAGGCCCAACATCATTCTCTACTCTGAGAACATGCTGCGCTCATGGGGCGAGAGCCTGGGCTCAGAGTGCTGTGAGACGACCTTCATCGAGGAGCACTCGCCCACCAAAGACACCCTGGAGTACCCTGACAGCAAATTCATCGACCTCTCTGCAGATGACATCAAGATCCACACTCTCTCCTATGAGGTGGAGGAAGAGGAGGATTTCCAGGAACTAGAGGTCAGATGTCACTTGGGATATGTGGGGAAGGCTTGGGAGGAAGAGGGCATGTTTGAAATTAAGTGTACAACCCCCTAGAGCTGAACAGCAGGGAATCAGCTGCTTTTTGGGTCACCTGTATCACTTTCTCCTCCACTAGGACAATAAATGGTTGCTTATCTTTATTGTTTGGTAAGGTCCCAGATCTGTGGATACCAATGGCAAAATTCTCACTGGCCCTAATGGTGATCAGCATTTCCCTTCTGCCTCTGAAAGGGCTGGCCAGAAACAGAAGACCCGTGTGCTTAAATGATGTGTCAGGTTTGGGCGGGGAGCATCTGTCTATTTGCATGGAGCCCATCTTACTCAGCAGGCCAATATCATCTCTTGCCTTCACCTAACTTGAGCAGAATGTTTTAAATTACTGTCTCAGACACAAAACATTTCTGTCTCAGAGTGAATGCAGAAACAGAAGTCTTTGGGTTTCAAGCTGCAGTGAATTAATGTCTCTGAAATAAATTATATTTTTCTCATTGAGCAAAACACTTTTTAGATCTACATACAATGTTTTCTTCTGGATCCCATGCCTCATTGATTGATCACTGTAAAATAACAGGGAAGACTGTGGAAACAACTTCATTCTTTCTCGAATGATGCATTTTTAAAATTTTAACCAGAGGCCCGAGTCTGGCAGGGATTTGTGTTTGCCAGTATTTGTGAGAATGGAGGGTGGACGTAATGCTGGTGATCTGAAAACTTCCTCCACCATTGGTCAGAGACTCCTAACGTAACAATGGCCCTCTCGCTGTCTAGAGAAAAGCCATACCTTCAAACATGAATGTCCCAGCTGAGATAGGGACACTGGTCATGCTTCTCTATTGCTGTGATTTTTGGTTAGGACCAAGACCAAACAAGCCCTAAAATTTCTATTTTCACCTCCTGTAATACCAGTGTCTCACCCTGTGATCAGCACAGGGCAAATCCACCAAGAGCCTGACTTCCCTTTTATTCTCTTTTCTGTCTATATTGATAAGGTGGGAAGAAGGAAGTGTTTTTCCCAGCGTGTGCCATTAATGCAGTATTCAATGCCTCCACAGGGAGACAGAAAACTTCTCTCTGAGGCATGCGAGAGTATTAGCTCAAATCACACCCCTCCACAGTATTTCAGAATTGACTGTGTAAAGTATAATTTCCTTAATCAAAACAAAATTCCTGCTCTCTTTTTGCCCCAGTTTCTCTCATGCAGTAGTGACACAAGTGACTTCAGCACACATGCTGTTGTTGACACATCTGGCCTGACATTCAAGCACCAAAAAAAAAGTCTCCCTCTCATCAATTCAAGTCAAGAAGACATTCTTAAGCCAACTTTCGAAGAATGAGATTAAAAAAGGCTGGAAAATGAGCAGCATAAGGAAAATCCCTCTTCAAAGTGGTGCTGGAGGAACTTGACCAGCTTTTCACAGAGAACATTTGTGTCTTTGGTAACATGCTCTGACAGTGTGTGCATCCTTTTCCCTGGCTCCTTCTTCTTTATAATCAGTTTCTCTGAAACAGACCTCCTGAGGTCAAACGTGGCAGTTCTTGAATGGGTATAGAACATCTGGAATCACAGATTTCCTGTCTCATTTGACCCTTTGGAGTGACACTGTGCTAACAAACACAGGTGTATGGAAACCATCTTCACCTATGTGTACAAAGTGCTCAGAATAAGAAGACCTTCTCAAAGTACCCACCACCCATGGATTGTCCTATCCATCAATATTTCTCCTCCACTAGGAACAGGGGAGGAGAAGACCAGGCATGGTTTGGATAAGGACCTGGTTAGGTGGAAACGCTTGCTTTGCTGGAAGCCTCTGTTTTGAGACCAGGATCTGTCCCCATTGCTGTGCTCCCTGACCAACCCTGTGCAGCAAGGATTTTCACACTCCATTAATTTTTCCATGTTCCCAAAGGATCAACCTGCTGAGCAGCTGTTTTCAACAAGAAGTAACTCAGCATGGCAAGTAGATTCCACTCCAGGAAGGTCCAAATTATGCAGATGCAGCTGGCCATGCAGGAGAGGAGAGATTAATTTGACAGCACCAGACCAGAAAAAAACGTGTCTGCTGTGTTTTGCTCTTCTGGTTCACAGAAGGTGGTGGAGAGAGGCTATGTCTGTATGGCCAGATGTGTGAGGGCCTCCTGAGCTTGGCTAGAGCACAGCTTCATTAGAGACCTTAATTCATGTGTGGAGCATCTAGGAATGGAAGAACACTATTTAAGGACAAGCAGTTACTGAGTAGGTGATGAACTATGCCAATTGTTAACTACACAAAACAACACCTAAATCACACAGCACAAGTGTGTCCCACTGGAAAGAATTTTTTCCCTGCTAGTTACTGATAAGAATTAAATGCTTTTTTAGGTTACTAATAGATGGGATGGGAAAGAGTGAGTACCAGGACTGAGAGTAGACGTTAGAAGGAAGAGGGTGACACAACAGAGATGCAAATTTTTCTTCCCCACTGTGAGAGTCCTAAAGGGTTTGAGTCTGCTACTGAGTGTGGCACAGGACCTTGCTATGTATCTCGTCACGTTGACTGTCAAGCCACAGCTCATCAAGGCATGGAAGCTGCTGAGTGTCAGAGCACACTAGGGCTCATGTCTGCTTTGCCACTTCTTTCTGGGAGAAAACTCTATAAACTAGCCCCTTTTTGGAAATATTGGCAAAGAGAGGAGCTTTGTGCAGAAGAGCGCTTTTGAAAACTGAGAGCTACCTTCTGTTCTCCACATGTCAATGCAAGGCAAGCAGAGTCCCAGCTTGAGCATCTCTGTAAAATGCCTTCTGGAAGACATACCAGCCATGGGGTTGTGAGTCATTGCTCTCTCCCCATGTCTCTCTGGCATTGCCTGCCTTATACCAGAATGCCTGCCTAGGATTTTTCAAGATGGATATTTAATTCCTTTGAAATACCAAAAAATCAATCTCCTCCCTTTGTAGTGTCGCCCCTCACCTCAACACAATACTTTCAGGAGGGACACATGCAGAAAATAATTTTATTGCAGGTCAGACTGCTTCTGACATGATTGTCTTTTTGAAAAGTGTTGGGCTCTTGATAACCAGAAAGATTGCTGTTCTCTGTCAGAAAAATTTGCAGTAGAGAAAGGTTCTGGAAAAAACACAAGGACAAGTTGCTGGCAAGGAGACACCTTCTTCCCTTCCCAAGCTTAGGGATTCTGAAGAATATGGGAGATACATAAGAGGAGCAGGAGACATCCTGATCATGGCTTGTATCCTGCAGCAACATTTAACCAACTTATTTGTAGGGATTTTTTACTAACAGTGCTTCTCAGGTCCTGGTAGAGTGTTGTTCAGTCTGCCTAAGAAAATCATAATTATCTGGAGGGAAAACATCTCAGAAACAGCTCTCATTAGCATATAGAGCCCCACTTTGCTCCAGAAAGTATCAGGCATGAAAAGAGAAGGCTTCACATTCTGTCAGGGCTTTAAACTTCTCTCTGCCATGCCCATCCCTGAAATAAAATTATTCCTTATTTCTGTATCACTGGAAAATGTATAAATATCTTATGAGCTGTTTACACCACAGCTAATAGATAGACAACTTGTCAAATGTGGCGGCAGTGAAATATGAAATAAGTTACAAGATGAAATATCGTCATTAGATTTCATGTACCATCTTTTATCCAAAAATAACATTTGTCATATTATATGCCTGCTAGTTTCCCTCCTAGCCACTAGGTAGATTGCTTATTTAGAGACACCCAAACTATTAATGGCAGCAAATTAAATTATTCATATGTGTCGCATAAAAGAATACCTTGGAGCTCTCTCTTAAAACCCTCTTACTTTTTCCCAGCACCCAGCAATGTCTGAAACAATTTCTAAAAGCAAAATAATAGAATAGAATGTTTTGGGAATGAAAGAAGAATAGAAATTAAGTGCTCCCAAGGTATACATTTCTTCTTTTTTTCCCACTAGAAAGTGCTGAATTCTGTTGTGAAAATTCATCCTTTGGACCTGAGCATGAAACTGTAGAGATAGAATTTGCATCCTGTACCATCCAACCACTCTTGTCAACATACTCAAGCACTTCCTGGCACATTTTTTCCACAACATGAAGAGAAGACCCTGAGGAGATTTATGCTCATCAGGCCCCATGTCTCGGTTTGAAAGACAGGTGTCTGCTAAGAAAGGCAGAACCCACTTTTTTTTGAAATGGAGAATGTAAACCCCCTCCCTCCAAATTATAATTTTGAAATTAAGGGGCTCTTAGGCCAATGGGAATAGGAGTAACGGTTCTTTACTGGGAAAATTAAAATAGAAATTACAGAGAACAAACCAAAAAAAACTGAGAGTCAGAGTACAACCTGACACCCTGTCAGCCAGGGTGTTGGTAGCACTCCCATTAAATGGTGGCTGCATCCTCCTGGAGTGGTTCTGTTGAAGCAGTGGTCCTGTAGAAGGGTGCAGTTTTCCTCCAACAGCCCAGTGATGATATGGAAAGGTCCGGTTTTCCTCTGGAATCCAGTGGAAAAAAGGCTGCCTTGATGTTCCAAATCTCAGTTTTTGTCTAGGTGGGAAAGGCTTGGCTCCTCCCCCTGACTTGGAGCATCTCCCAATGGGATGATGTAATTTTCTCAGTCATACAGTGGGATTCAATGGCCCATTAATGGGCGATATCTTCTTGGAGGAAGGATGGGTTGTGGAATAGATGACTGCCCCACCTGGTTTTAACAGATAGCCCATTAGCAGAGGATATCTCCCACAGAGGTAAGATCACTGCCCCACCTGGTTGCAACAGATGGTGATAGAATACACACTTTTGGTCACATCCTGTATTGCAACCTAAGACACCCCATGACATCATGTACACTTTCTGTCAATGCTTCCAGCCTGTAGTCCTACACTGGGCCATGTCCTCAGCCTTCCCTGGCTGTAGGTATCCAGAAAGTAAGTTTGAACACCCCTGGGGGGCTGAGTATGGCAGAGCTCCCTTTTCAGAGAGCTCTGCAAAACGGGCAAAGACAGGGTCTTGCAGCCTTTTTTTACTGAAGAATTCACAGGTGATCACAGCTCTCTTCTGAATTGGGTGTACAGTATTTTCTCTGTTCTGCATCTGGGCAATGGAGTAAAACAGTGCCATAAATACCTTGCCCAATCTCATCTAGGGCTGTGTTGAGAATACGGAAATATAATTTTTAGTGTTTTTATCCCATGGCATATGCTCAGAAGAGCACAGGTGTGCTGTCAGAGGTGTGGTGCCCAGGTATGAGCTTCTAAGAGGTGTGGCACTCAGGTATGCAGTCACAGCACTGAGTCATTCTACTCACAGGACACACTTTATATCTCTGAGTTCCTTCAAAGGCGCATTATTAACAGATTACAAGAGTGATTACACTTTGGATTTGACTTATTTTTCTCCTTTGAAGGAGAAGCCACTCAAGTCTGGAGATACTGAGCCCTGCCAAGGTATATTAACCTCTATTAGCCAGCTCCAGATGAAGTGAGCATGGCTGGGAAGTCACCTTCAGCAGTGTTCAAGTGCCCTCCTATGAATCTTGTTAATAGTAGCCAGGGCCCGTGGCAATTCCCTTTCTCATCATCACTTCCCAGAGTTCTCAGACTGGAGCTCTGCAGTGATGTCTCTGGGATCCAGCCTGTGAGTGGCAGGAGCTCTGGATGAGCTGCATGCTCTCATTTTTAGAGGGTGGATATTTGGCACACTTTGAAGGCTGCTATGTCAGCTCAGAAGCAAAAAGGGGACAGTGATGAAGGATCACACCACTTGCCCCAGCTTGTTTTAGCGTGGATCTGTTCGTTGCTGTCTGCAGTGATCCCCTTCCAGTGGCAATGTGCTGGATGCCAGTTCCTGAGAAGCTACAGATAGGCTGGCTGTGGGTGTCTAGAAAACATCCACAAGGGAGATTATCAAAGTCCAGGGCTCAAGGAAGAAAAATAGCCTTGGAAACTACATCCAGGGTTTTTGCCTGTTGTGTTTTGATGTTGCAAAGTTACATGTGAAAAGTTTTCCAAGCAAATCTGTGAGCCTATTCTGTAAGGCTGGCTGCCTAACTGACAGGGCAATTTTTAGACTGGGAGTTGGGGAAACAAGAGGAGCTGCAGCAGGTCAGTGTTAAGGGATTATGGATCTTATAAATGTCTTTAGTACTGAAAGGGAATCTGTTGGATCTCAGGAAACTGGAGTTTTTGAGCTTTCTGTGCTTCCAGGCACAGATGCCCTGGAAAACACTGCACTGGACCTGAAACCTTGGAGAAGACTTGTAAATATGAATGATAAGTTAGAAATCACAAATGTGTAGCAGGTTAGATGTGTGTGTTTTCACTGGGTGATGGGTTTTAAATTTGAGGTTTTTACAGTATAGTGGTAGTTAGGGGACAAGATGGAGAATTTTGGGTGGTGTCTTTTCTTCTTGTTCATCTTTGTCTCTTCCTTCTTCATGGAACTTAGGTAGTTACCTTTGGATTGGTCAGTCTAAAGTCAGTCTAGGGGTCATGGGGATCTATTATTGGGTCAAAAGTATAAATAATGTAGGTGTAAAACTTTTATTAGTGTGTTTAGCTTTAAAAGGCCTTGAAACAGGCTCAGCTTAGAGCCATTTTTCCTACTTCTAGCAAGCAGCTAGAGGTACTGTTGTACTTTCTGTAAATTTTGATAAGATATAATAAACATCCAAGTCCGAACACGAGAAACCGGCTTGATTGCCTTTCTAATAATCCTGGTTCCAAACAGAAACAAACAAGACTGATGACAAACCACTAATTAGTGGTGCCAAGCTCAGTTCACTCCTACAGGAATCTACTGCAAAACCCAAAGTTGTGAAAAGAAATAAATAGACAGGAAAAAATAAATTTAAAAAAAGGCTTTAGAGACATCACCTCTTAAGAAATTATCAGCAAGATGCTCACAGGGATGAATGAGTGTGTGGAGGCAGAGCAGTGATAAACTACATTCTTTGGTGGAAGAGTCCCCATCCAGCTTCTGCCTTCAGCTGCTGCATGGAGGTGAACTTCAAACACTTGCAGGAGAGCAGAGGGATGCAGAGTGCTGGTCAGAACAGGTCATCATGTTTAACAACTTTACTGGAACAAGCGTTGTGTGGAGGGAAACAGAGCACATATTAACTTGGAGCAGTGTTGTGTTGGTCTTTGTCAAACCAGATCACTGGGCCATCTGGATTCGAAGGCAGATCCCACAGGGCCATATGAGGAATTAGTATGCAGTGTGTGCATGTTGCTGAATTGGTTGCTTTGAAGGAAAAAAGGAAAAGGACTCTTTCCTGAATATCCATCAGAGGTTTCTGGCAGCTGTAGTTCAGAGCAGATCCTGTTGTCTGACATCTCTGGTGTGCTTGGCAGGCTGTCTGCAGAGCAGTTGTAATGTCTTGGTTGAGGTAAAGTACATAGCTTTTAGGGGTAGCCAGCCTTCATTTAAGAAAAGGGCTTTTTTTAATAGAAAGTCCATTACAACTGCAGAAAAGGGTTCATCACCATCTCTGTTAAAAAGATGTACTTGATGTCTGCTCTTCCTCTATTCTTGTTTCAGTCACTTCAGCTTTTCTACAGAATGAAAGAGCTGTCTCTGATCAGAAATTATCTACTCAGGCACTTACAGGCTATAATGAAACTGCATCTGAAAAGCATCTTATGAGTGGAGTTGGCTTCTCTTCTTTCTTCCTGTGTAGATGTTTTCCTGTGGCGTTCTGCCTTCCAATGCCTGATTTCTCCAACAAACTTGGGAAAGAAGGGAAGGGAAGGGAAGGGAAGGGAAGGGAAGGGAAGGGAAGGGAAGGGAAGCCTAACTGGCGAATATAATTCTGACTTCTCAACAACACTAATATCCAGCTTCTTCAGTGTCAGGGTGCAGGTCTTGCAGATCCAGGAATAAGTGAAGACAGAGAGCTAGGTAGGCAAATTATTAACTATCCTAGTGTCGGTGGAGTTCTGAATAGAGATTTCTTGGTAAGCTCAGGATCAGGTGCCCTGTTGTAAGAGAAAATGTTAGGAAGGAAGGTTTGCTTGGAGAAAGGAGTGTTAATCTGGAAGAGTTAAGAGGTACCATTTGCTGTTGGAATTCTTTCTGTGATTTTAAATTTTTTTTCACCCTTCTGGTCCATAATTGGTCTGCATGGTCAGGACTTTATGATTAGAATTATTCTCTCACCTTTGGTAACTCATAGGCACACTCATCTTGGTCTTCGGGAGGAAGCATCACTGATAATTTTGTGGTTCAGCACATGATCAAAGTTACTTGAGGAATCTTTTCCCCATTTCATCTTTATGTGAAAGAAAAAGCAATTTGAAATATCAGAGAGGTGGTCTATATAGCAGTACACAGCCCAGCCAAAAACCTGAAAATCAAAATCATTTTTTGATTTTGTATCTCACCTGTTCAGGTGAGTGCACAATTTCAAGGGGTGGTTTCAGCAATACTGAGGATTTTCTCCTTCTCCTTCTTCCCCTTTATTTTTGAAAGGAAATAGTCACCCTGGTTTATCTGACCAGAGAGCCCCTTCCTTTCATGGGCCCTTTTCTGCTCCCCGGAGTGATATCTTTACATTTGTCTTTTCTTGCTTTCAAGCTCATGCAGTAGTGATGGAACCTGTGACACAGTGGGTGTGGAAGAGGAGACCTGCTGGCCACTGCTGTGATGGAGTAGGAGAAATGGGCAAATGATCAGGGAACTGGCTCATGGCAGAAGAAAAGCAATAATGTCATTAACCAGCACACCTGTGTTTCTCTCTTTTGCTGTTCCAGAGCGATTACTCGAGTGACACCGAGAGTGAAGACAACTTCCTGATGATGCCACCAAGGGATCATCTTGGCCTCACTGTGTTCTCCATGCTCTGCTGCTTCTGGCCACTGGGAATTGCTGCCTTTTACCTCTCCCATGAGGTAATATTAAAATATCTCTTGCCAGACATTCTCGAGGACAGTGGAAGGTAGTTTAAGGGGATGGCATCTTACGCACTTGGCTATGTCTCTGTGGTAGCAGCCACTACTACTTGAGATACTTTGCTGGGGGATGCGTATAGAAAATATTTTAGCTTTTAGTTGGCAATGGTCACGTTCCATGTCTGGTTATATGTCCAGCTAAGACTCCTCTGTGGACACTCTGTGGCTTTTGAATAGAAAACACCCTTGATAGCTCAAATGCTTGGCTTTCCCATTGGGAAAACAGATCTACTTGTCCTAAGCTGATAATTTAGAATATCCTTCCAGGAGTAGAAAAATAATTTCTGTTCTGCAGATGTGCATTTGCTTTCCAGAAACCATTTCCTTTCCCATGGAAAAAATTGCTCAGTCAGTTCTTCCTTTCAAATTTTAATATGCAAATATCTTTTTACCAAAGAAGTGATTGTGGTTTAGTTTGTTTCTTTCATGAGACAGTCTTAACTTTGCTTAACTTGCAATCACCTCGTGCCCATAATTTGTTTCCACAAGTGTGTCTTCATAAGTGTCTGCAATGTAATTACTGAGTTTCCCTGCATGGCAGATAATGTGAGGTGACAGAGAAGGCGTCACACTGGCAGCCTCATCAGTGGCTGCCAGGAAACATTTGATTATATTTCTCTCTAATGCCTATTGCAAACAAAAGTCTCTGCTCCACAGCACCCTTCACATTCACCCTCTCAGCTGTCTTTCTAATCTGCCTGCACTAAACATCTACCAGCTCTGCTGATTTGTCAAACCAGAGAACACGCTTCAGATCTGAAGAATTCTACTCTTCAAGACAAAAAAAAAACAAACCAAAAAGAGACACTACTGTATTTTTTACTTCAAATGAACAGTCTGTCTTTGAGCTGGGAAGTCTCTGAGAAAATTAGTGTTTGTTTAGTGCAAAATAACAAGTTTTGATTGTTTGAGTTTTGATTGTTTGTAAGATAGTTTTATCTGAGGAAAGAAAGCACAGCATGGTCCAGTGAATACAAAAATCCCCAATGTAATTAGTACTAAAAAGCAAAAAAGCAAAAATTAAATGTGCTGAGAACCAGTGTACAAAGGCCAGGGCATCCAGCTACGAATGAATCCCAGGGGCCAGCATGAATCTGTAGGAACCTCTGACTTCCATGGGAGAATACAGAAGGTGGAAAAGGCATGAATACAGGGAAAAAATTTGGTACTATGGTGAAGGATTTTGGCATTTGAAAACAAAAATTTGTGCATTTTTTGATTTAGTATAATGATGAAGAATAGCTGAATGTGGCTGCCGAAACTCAGTTTTCACATCTCTTGTAGTCAGATGGTCCAGCTTGGTCTAGTCCAGCAGAGACACATCTCTCTGTCTTCCCCCTGAGTTCCCAGGGAGCTCCTTTATCTCCCTGCCTTCCCATTCAGGTCCATCACAGCCCTGAGAAAACATGTGGAAAAAGTGGTTCTTCTGCAAAACCCGACATCCAACTAACTGGTGTTGTCTGGGGGAAAATGACACCAACATTAAGACCAAACCTCCTGTGGCTGAGAACGTGCTGAGATGGTGAAAACCATCAAAACCCTGCACCTTGCTAAGCTAAAATTGACAGTGATATCAACTCATACTTTGACACATAAACCATATGTGTGATTTCTATCTATATAGGTCGTTCAGCTTAAAATCCTTGAGAAAATTTGAGATCACTTGTTAATTCAAAAGATAGTCTAACATTCCCCCTTCTTTATCAAACGCCAGAAGTATAGCTAAAGATCAACTGTTGGTACTCACCATCAAACGTCTTTTTTTTGCAGTTGCTTAAGCTCTTGAAAATTCTGTGTTTTCTGAAGTCTCCTGAGCAGTTCTACCAAAAAGGCCATCTGGGAATAAATTGGAACATATAGGAAATTCAGAGATGGAGGATGGATTCTTTGATGCGGTATGCAGCACTGGCAGTGAATTTTGTTTTAAAAATCTGGTCTGCTCTAGGTGTGGGATGAATTTGAAGTTGAAGGCTTTGTTTGCAGAAGATATATCTGCAGTACAGCTCATTCCAAAGGCATAGGTTCTCTGTTTATTCCTGCATCACCTGCCAGAACATTAATGATGCGTTTGCCTGTGTCATGCTGCAAAACAATTATACAAGGTTGCATGCTGTAAGACAACAGAGGTGCTCTTTACCAACAGAATGATTGAATTTTGTGGGTTTGTACTCCATGAAAGCCACGTTTTTCCTGCAGGTGATGTTTCTGTTCTGTGTGGGACTTATTTTCTCCGCCAAGGCTCTTGCCAATGTGCTGCTGATTTGGAGCTTCTTGCAGAGCCTCTATATCAATGAGTGCAGCTGTGCAGGGTCTGCCTCTGTGGTGGAAATGAAGATGTGCATCCACAAGTGAGCCAGCAGGGAGGAGAAGTGGATTCAGAAATGCACTTTATGAAAGCCCAACATGGGGTTTTTTCCCCGTTGGGATATCCAGTTTTCCAAGCAGGATGTCACCTGATGATCTTATCCCAAGCAATGCTGAGACTTGCTGCTTTTCATCCTCCCTTAGAAAAACATAGAGCTTTAAGGCCATCACTGTGCTGTCCACTTATTCAGTTATTTCCTTTGGGTTTTATTTGTGTTTTCCTTCCTGCAAGAGACTTGCTCCGAGTTCCTGTAGTTGCCCAGCCCTGTGCTCCTCTCAGCTCCACTCCCAGGATCTGGCCCTGTGTCCTGTCTCTCACACTTGCTTTTCCAGAATGAAGCATGTGAGTTTTTAGGCTTGCCATTTTTTGGATTGTCTCATTAGTAAACAGCTGAATGGCTCAATCAAAGGAGTTTTTGTGCATTTTGCAAGGAAACTTTTGGAAAGAGGAAAGTAAATTATATCTTTCACTATAAACTCTTCCCCACAAACAGTGTATGATAGAGAAAACCACCTCATTATGTTTATTTTTTCATAAATCTCCACCCTCTTGAGTCTTGCAGATTCCTCAGTTTTTATGTCTAAAGATATTTTTAGATTGTAGGCAAGTGTGAAGCCTCATAAATTAAGAAAAAAAAAAAGAACTTTAAAAATACGTAATTTTTGTCTTGTCAAGTTAACCATTGAACTTGTCAGATGATTTCTCAGGAGCTGTCAGGCTTTCTGCTTGTGCTGGGGGGTGGTGGTAACACTCTGGAAAGGTCTTTTTGCATGAATCCTCTTTTTCTCCCTGTTTTTATTTTTAGTAAAGAGAGCAATACCATGTCACACATTTCCCTCCATACTGTAAACAGAAATTCATTATGAGAGAGCTGAGCCTTTGATGGTATGAATGAGCTTCACTTTGTGCCTGCTCTCTTACAGGCAGAAACAGAAGCGTGCAGAACACCTCCACCCAATTCCCATGAACCTTCCAAGGACCTGTGTCACTGACCTAGACACACAACTGAAAAAATTCCTCTGCACACTTCTCCACATGCTTAAGTTCTCAGATAGCCTCTACACCCTCCCTCCTCCCCGGCAGCAAGTGAGACCTGCCAGGCAGCAGACCGCACTCCGAGCACAAGGGAGCAATCCCTTTCCATCTGCTGCGCTGACTCTCTGCTGTAATTACCTCCCTCGCAAAGGGGTGCAGGCATGCAAAGCTTTGTAATTATTTGCTCACATTGTCTCACTGGGTAAAGGATTTTCTACAGTTTTCACATGGAAACAAGGTATACTGACCAGAAAAAAAGAGTAGTTTGTCTTTCTTTGTGATAACTTCTGAAATATTTGGTTACTTTTCATCCAGTTTGCAGAGACAGGGGCTTTGGAAAAAAATCTCTACTTTGACATATTTCAGTAGTCACTGGGGAGAAGGAAGAAAGAATGCTTCTGTTCCCACTGGAGGGTAGCAAACAATATGAATTCTGGCTTTTATCTGAGTTTCAGTGCTCTGCATATATGTATGGATTCCACTGTTCTTGCTTTTCTGGCATAAGGTTTGACATCCAACTTCAAAAGAAGAGGACAGAGAAATAACAGCCAGGTGTTATCTGCTATTTATTCCTTAGAAAAGTGGCTCATAGTCCCCGTATCAACAGGGAAAACAGTAAGACAGAACAGCAGTATGATGTGCCACACTCCACCAGACTGGCTGGTGAGCCCCGCTCTTCTCCGTCCACCCCACAATTTTTAATCTCTGTCCCACTTAACTCCATCAAGAAAATGAGTATGGTCTATTACACAGAGCTTGACACACAGCCAGGAGCATGTGTTTGTACAGGGAATGCAGCAACCTCTTATATCAAAGAAGAAAAGGCCAAAGGAAAACAAAAAATGTGGTATTTTTCTTTACTTGGCAGTGACATGCCAAGATCTATACTAGCAGGATATGCTGGTCAGCAAAGCTGAAGCAATGCTAGCAAAGCAGACTGGAGGCTTTTATATTTTCAAGAGATTTTTCAACAGTGCATTATTTCTTGGTCCAAGTAAAGCTTGGACAAAGGAACTGTCCAAAGATGATGAGCTTTAATGGAAAGAAAAGGCCTTTGTTTTTCTGTCTTGGACCAGATAGCAAGTCACACAATTCTTTAGCTTAAGCAGGGCTGTTGCTTTGAGTCATTTGCTTTGAGCCACACAGACTGGGTAAAGGGCACAGGGTGTGTTCTGGGGCTGCCCAGCCCAGTCTCTGCTGACTGTCACACAAAGGTTTGAGCTCTCTGTCTTGCTCACTCAGAAAGCAAATCCCTGAGTTTTTTATCCAGCTATTTGCATGTGAGTACAGGCACACCCGGGTGGCCTTTTACCCTTCTGAACTGTTGTAGCTTTTCTGCTGCAAAAGGTGATTCATAAAACAATTAAACCCGTTTGTGCCAGGTATGAGTGAAAAGAGGTTAAAATTACTTCCTCCTCTCAAGGAGCTGCAAAAGTCTTTCGTGGCAGAAGAATTCTGTGCCACTGTCCTGCTGAGATGGCACAGTGCTGATGGTGTGGCCATTGTACTCAGAGGGCCCTGGTCCTGAGAAGTCACCAGA